TGTAACACCGCGTGCCAACGCAGAAGAATCTTCGACAATTACCTAAGGACCCCGTTAAAAAATCGTCCTGGCCCACTTTTGCTTGCCTCGCCGTTTTCTGGAATTCAAGGGGTTAGGTTAGGTTCCTTTTCTCTTATTTTTATCACTCTCAATGTTCCAAGTATTTTTCAACTTTTCAACAGTATTTATAAGCGACAGCGTTAAGTACGATCTCGTAGCGAGAGGGTTAAGCAGGTATTCCAATTGACAATTCGAGGAATCGATAATATCAAAAACGTCTCGCTACCACGTACGACTATTTACAGCCCAGAGGAAAGATCCGTGGCCGTTTTCCCGATACTTGGCGCGATAAAGAGAAGAAAAAAGGCGGAAAAGAAATCGATCGACACCGTGAACAAGGACGCGATTAAAAATATATCTGCGGTCACGTGGCGCGTTCCTCTGTCTGACTAGGAACGGGACCATTCTCCTTCACTTTCTCCCGGGAGTATATCAAAGGTCGCTGGTCCCTCCGTTTTCATCGGGATGGACTGTTATTACGTCTTGTTTCACGGGTCGACGATCCCGTAACGCTTTGTGAAAACGCCACCGAACGTAACGTCGAACGGTTTTCCACGACTTTCGCCAGGCACGATGGAAATTGGAGCTGAAAATTCAATCCGTCCTCGTTAACACAGGGGAGGAGAACCGATAATTGATCGACGTAAGAAAGTTTACTTTTATCCGAGCCAGGTGGTGGTAGAGTGTGGTGTAAGAACGACTCGGTGAATTTTCAAGGAAACTCGTCCAACTTTGAAACACACTGTTCCAAGGTATTCGAGATCTGGTTACACATTATAATCCCGTGGCGCCGGATTTTGTTTGCTCGTTCTATCATTGCCGATGTTGACGCTGCTGATTGACCCTAGAACGCTTGCTGCTGCGTCAGGACCCAAATACAAATGCATTCGCTATCAGCTAGTCGCACCTTGAGTATTAACTCCGTGCAGTTGGTATGTTACGACGGAATACAACGTTTATCGTGAAATCTGAAACCAGCCAATTTCTCTCTCTCTCTCTCTCTCTCTCTCTCTGCGTATTGGACGAACAATTGAACGTTGCTCTGTTAAATGTTCGTGGAAGTTGAGTCCGTGTAAAATTTGTGGAAGCATTTAGCGGTAGATGGGAAGACTGTTGTGTGCGGCGGGATCGATTTCGCACGTTCTCGAAGACTAATTCCTTGGAAGCCGCGAGTCGACAAGACCGATAGCTTCGCGTTGCTAAAATAGACCCGTAATGTTGCGAAAGTCCAAAGTAGCGTAAGGAAGTTGGCACGCTCGCTTCGACAGGCAAATTCGAGGATATATGCGCTTGTTTGAAATGGTACTCTGTCGTACTCAGACGAGACGTCGACAAGAGAGAACAGTTGAGACGTTATTTTCTAATTAACACGTGCTACGTAAATCGTCTCTCTGCTTAATCGAGTACTCTATTGTCACCGGCTGAAACGGCACTTCGATTCTTCGGTCGAAATCGATACTGGTTTCGGGTTAAAAAAATTAGAAAATTAAATGGAACGCTCGAGGATTGTTTGGTAAAATGTCACCAAGCGTGTTTTTTATGGGTCACGGGGGGATTAATTGTTCGATGGCGGTATCACTCTGTCAATTATACAACATGGAGCGTAACTGGGTCGGCGGAGACGCGGCCCTTTTAACACTAGGCTGCCGGATAATTCAGTTTCGGGACGGGTAACTTGCCCATCAGAATTCTGGTTACTCTCGCGAAGAGGAAGCGTAACAGAATCAGCAGGGGCAAGTCAGAAACAACAGACGCCAACGTTCCCTTCCAACTTCCGTGCTAATTGTCTGACCATGCACCGGTCTAATTCACTGCCGTCCCTGACTAGCGAGTCTCACCTCTCTGACCCTTATCAACCTATCCGTTTAACGGAGTATCGTTGAATAGAACAATTCTACCTTCCTTTTTTCTCTTCTCTCTCTCGTCGAACTTCCTCCGCGTTAATGACTAAAAAAAGCGAGATTCGCAAGTATTACAACCTCGGAGCGTTCGTGGAACTTTGCTAATCCCAGGAGGAAAAAGCGTTAATTGCCGAGATACAAGAAATCATTACAAGAAAAATGTAATCGTTGGAAAACTTCATTAGAGCGAAAACCAGTGGAATTCTCGTAATCTCTGGATTCGTATCTAGAGCAAAGAGAGTAATTCGACGTTCAATTTGTACTTTAATTATTCACATACGTGGATGACAAACGATCGTCATCTAGATCAAGAAGAATACGAAATAAAGTTGCAGCAGGATCTTTTCGACCCGGTATCCGATCTGTCCTTTAATTACGCGGCTATCATGCGGCGTGATTGCGCTAAGATCCGGAGAAAATGATGAAGAACCGTAGCACCGAAGCTCTCCCTTGCTGTGCCGCTCTTCAGCTTCCCTTGTCGGTACTTTAACCACCTACGTGCCGGCTCTCTGCGCCGCTGACACCCGCTAATTATAATTTGTGTCGTGAGTTTCATGCGAGCAGACGAGAAAAGGGGCTAAGATGTGCCTCTGCCGTCTCTCGACTCCGTTGCAGAGCAACAGCACACGAACACGTGCAGTTCTGTCTCTCTTGTTCCAACCGTGTACAACATCGCGTAGATCTATGGTTGTCTAGGGAATGTACACAGCAGATTTTCATTCCTTTTGTCTGTCTCGTGGCACGTCGTTTTCCATCTTTTCTGCTGGCAACCAGGAAACGCGGGTAACAGCCGGCTCTAATCGTCGTAACGACAGTGGTTTACGCTGGGAAAAAAAGGGGAGGAAATCGCGACCGTTCGAACTTTCTTGCAACTATTTATTCTTTTTCTTTTTTTCTAGACTGCTGTTTCCTTTCTTTCACTTTGACTTCTCAAGTTCCCCCGTTTCTTTCTCCCCATACTCTGCTCCCCTCTTCTTCTTCGCCTACTTGCCGCGGTATTTTCGGGCCGATTGATTTTGTTGCAAGCTGTTCCCTTCGCGGGGAACGTGATTGGAAAGCCGAGTCGCGAAATGGGCACACCGCCGTCGCTGGACTTCCAACAGTTTTTAAGAATTTTTCTTTCTGATTAAGAGATCGAGAATAGTGGGTGTTTTTCGTTCTCGTTAATATGTAAGCCTTGTACTGTGAAATACAGGTTTTCTTTGCTACATGCGTTACATAGTTCATGCAGTATACCCAGAACAATTAAGCCCTTTAAAAATTGAGTAGCTCTTCCTTCCAGCACCAAATAAAAGAAAAAGTAATAAAAATAAAAATCACTCCAGTGGTTCGTACAGTAGATAAATCTGGTATAAACATCCTTCAAAAGTTTCAGGTTAATCAGGATAATAGTTTTCTCATTATAGCTGTATGTCACTACATTCTTCTAGTTTGCACAATTTTTTAAATTTCCCAAAGTTCTTGCCCTACCTTATTCTACGTGCTTCGAACAATCTACCAATGAAAAAATTTATCATTTATTTCTATCCTACAACGTTGAATCACTCTCCTAAGTAATGACCAAGATTCGAGGGTTTCTGTAATGGATCTGTTTGGTGGAATCGCGCGTGTACCAACGCGGTGAAATTAATATACGACAGATGGAACGCGTCCCGCGGGACATTCCATTTCCTGCGGAAAGAGAAAAATTTTCCTCGGTCCACGAGATGAAAGCGGCGATAAACAGACGCACGCGTCCGCCATTTTTCTCGTCACTTTCTTCTTTTTTTTTTTCAGAGGCGAATCCGCTTCGCGTCGGTGTGTGCATGTTGCGCGCGTGAAAAGTCACGTAGATGAAAGGCGTGGTATCAGAGGAACCAGATTGAAGATAAAGAGGAATGCGAGGGTTGTGTGTGGAGAGAGAGAAAGGGAAAAGCCGCGACAGACGCCTCGGTAAAATGCGGAAAATCTGCTTTGCAAATTTTCCCGTACGGCCCTCGCGGTTCGAGAGGCGTTTCAGCGCCTCGATGGATTTACGGGATATCGATTTAATTCCCGCGCTTTTAGCCCCCGCTTCTCCTTTCTAGCCGGCGATAAAAACGTCTTTATTACGCCGAATAATCGATATTTAGAAAGAACGTACGTGAAATCGTGAAAATGGCATTGTGAAAATTCAGACGCGCACAATTCGAAGATAAAGAACTCGAAACCACTGTGCATCACGAGCAATGTTTAAATTTTCAGAAGTCCAACGAATATCCCCCAAAACATAGAATGATCCGTTAGAGTTACTCGATTAAAAGCATCGTGGTCCACGCATTTCTCCGCTATCGACCATGCCGTCATGTGTCATCGGTTAGAAAGGAGCCAAGGCGAACTGCATTTCTCAGCGATGCAACTGCATTCTTTGACTCACGAAGGACATAGTGATCGAAGAAAGTCCCACGTGGATCGTGGATCCTCTTTAGAACAAGACTATCCGTAATTCTATCCGCGAGGCAAATCGAATTCTCCATTATTACACGGTGGACTTTAACACCTCGTAGCGTGAAAGAACGCAGAAGAATCGCGATTCGCTCGAGCGGCGTTCAATTCTTTATTCTCTTTTTTTTTCTCTCCTCTCTACCTTTTTCGCGATGATGTAACGCAGCAGACGGTGATGCAAACGTGGTAAAATCGCGAACGGGAAGAAATGTCAGCGAACGCTCGCCACCCAGTATTCTACTTCTTTTGACACGCTAAAAGTTTCATCGTTCTATTCCCCTACATGGCCAAGTTTGCCAAAAACCGCGCGATATGGCGGTTTCGAGTCGTTGCGAAATTTGCTAAAACTACCGCAACAGCAGCGGCCGGGGGGAGGGCCAGGCCTCCGTAAAGTCCGTGGAAACTTTCACTATTGCGGTTCCTCTCTTGGTCTCCGCGAAATTTGCCAAAAAGCCAAACCGCGGAAAACTTTGCTAAATCCCTGAACGTTGCGGCGAACCTTTCTCTACTACGTAACTTGCCTGCCGTACAGAGTAGAATTCATCTAAGAAGGACGATTTTCGTTTGATGTTGCAGAAGGTGGACCCCGAGCTGATATTCACGAAACAAGAACGAATCGGTAAAGGTAGTTTCGGTGAGGTGTTCAAAGGTATCGACAATAGGACCCAGCAGGTTGTCGCCATCAAGATCATCGATCTCGAGGAGGCTGAAGATGAGATCGAGGACATACAACAGGAGATCATGGTGCTGTCACAATGCGACAGCCCCTACGTTACCAAGTATTATGGGTCCTATCTCAAGGTAAGCGTTTTAATCTTCCCCTATCTTTCATCGTCACACGTCTATGCGATGTTCAAGTTTCATCCTTCGGAAGATGGATAATAACTTCACCAGATAATTCATCGTCGTATAATGTAACTCGCAGAAATTTACAGCGAATTAATCGCTCCTTGTACCACGATTTATAATTACTTTGCAACAATTAAGCCGCGCACCAGCAATCAGCAGATACGTTAAAAAGGGGAATGCCACGCAGCTGTACATAGTAATTGAAAAAGGGCACTCGAGGTAATCACGGTCCGTCGATGCGTGTTCACCGGAGAACAAATTACCGTGGTTGGGTTCACGCGTGTCGAGCGTAAAAAAACCGCAGCCGGTGGAATTGCAGGTTGGACGAAAAATTCCGTGGCGAGAGAGTACCACGCCTTTCTGTCGCCGTTCCGACTCGATGAATTTCCACAATATTTTCGGAGCTGCACGACGAAACTCCCCTTTTCGTCTGCTATTACAGACACTCCGCCGATACGCCTCCGTCCATTTTTCATACGCGAAGAATGGCAAGGGCTTGACGGTCGGTTAACCATCGCTTCCGGCTGGACAGTGTCGCACAGACGCTTCCGCTTCCTCTGCGGCCGGTTCAGCGTGCTCGAGAGTGTCGTGAAATAAAATTGTGCTTCTCTATGCTTCTCTAGCGTTACCCTATCTCCTCGATCCCATATCTCTGGTTTCTTCCACCGCAGTATTTCGAATCTCTTCTTCGCGAAATTTTCAACTAGAAACACTCGACACCTTTTCTCCAATTGCATTTTATCGCTTTCGATGTTAACTTTGATCGAGAAAATAAGCATACAATGGGAAGTAATATTGTCCACGGTCGCTCGTAGCGCACAGTTTATTGCGGACAACTGCAGTCCCCCATAGCAACGAAAGGGTTAAGGAGTCAATTCACCCTGTTCCCCGAATCGAAAGTTCAACGAGGAATGTGTGTGCACACGTCTGACCGCTTTATGAGTTCGCAAATAGCCTGTACCGGCGAACAACGCAACAAAAGCATCGAGCTTAAACGCGTCCTGTCTCAGCGAAACCCGTCGAAAGCGTGTCGAGAATCTTGTCATGGTTCACCAAGTTGCTGCGGTGAACGGTGGAGGCCTGGCATACCCGTGTTTCCAACTGTTCCGTCGACCTTTCTATCAGTCTGTAACCCGGTTGGGTACATTAACGATGCAGCAAGATCGATATTCCAAGTGTGTATAGGGTAAGGCTGCACTTTAGTTGGGCATATTTCGATCGAAATACGGTACAATCGGATGGGTAACTAATGGTCGCTAATGACCGTTTCGCGCGGTCATTAAGGGAACTTCTCGACGGAGCTTAATATTGGGCGGCGCTGCTTCATTTCGTAGGTAATCATCTTAATTTTCCGCTTCCCGAGCCCGGAAACGAACAGATTCCTCCCGGCTGCCTCGCCTCCCTTGTAATCCGTTTCCTCGTTCCGTCAGAGCTCTCCCAGCGGGGAATCGACAAGCTTGTTTCTACCCTTGTCTTGCAATTAACGCTCCCCCACCATTCCACCTCATATCATGGAGAATAATGATCGCTGCGTGTCGCCAAGTGCGCGGATCTAATCGTTGATACACCGAACTAATGGACTGGAATTCGTTGATTAAATTTAGGCATTTGTCGTTGGTCGGGTAGAATGCAGTTTAGGGTTGTGTATAGAGAGTAAGGATTTTGTTCAGTTTTAGTAGAACATAAGCGTGGTGTCTCGAGCGAGACATAAAACACGCACGTCTGAAGGGAAAGTTTCACAGACGAGAGAACATTTGTCAATCTGGACCACGGTGGCTTTCCCTGCAGATTATCAATAGCCACTTGGGTAGATTTACGGCCCTGCAGGACCAAGAAGCGTCCAGGCCATTTCGAAGACCATCTCGTTCCACCGTTCTTTCAGAGGTGTGACCTTTCCGAGTAGTCTCTTCAATGGATGGATATCTCCGTCCACGTTGGTCGCATAAATTTCCAAAGTTTTCGACGCCGGCTAGAGCCAGTCTCGCGTATAAGTTCATTTGGCGTGAAACACTTGTGAATATTGAAAGCACCACACGGTTGAACAATAAGACGGGGGATTCGGGGGTTCCTAATCCTACGATATCGAGTCTCTTTCTCGCCGTATCCCGGTTTACCAATAACGAAAGAGAACACGAGGTGTTAGCTAGAGGATCGCGGTGGGATTGTCGGGTATCAGCAAAAGATTACGGGGCGTTACGTCAGGCGAGAAGTATGTCTTGGATATTGATTTTTGCAGGATCGCGCGGCGTGCCGCGGTAATAACGGCATTAAAAACGATCCCGTCGCCCGTGTGTGTTGCGTACGATTATATCCCACGGCACGCGGCTATTGTGCCGCCATTAATCACAGCCGCGCGCACAAAAGGATCCTCCGCAATCTCATTCTCGATACCTATTCTCCATCGATGCCACGAGAAGAAGAGAGAGAGGAGGGGAACAAAAGCACGGCACAGCCTCTTCCGGAGATTTCCTCACGCTCGCCTACGAGATTTCATTTTCCACTGTGTTGTCCCCCATCTTTTCGCTCGTTTGCACCCAAGGATCCATCTTCCTCCTCTCGTCCCACCTTCTATTTCCCGTTTTTCTCGCCTATCGAACAATACCAGGTGTCGACGACACGTTCGCGATAATTGTCGGCCCGAAATAATTCTGCCCACGTGCCTGATGTCATCGTTGAACAACGTTAACTGGACCAGCTTGATTAACAGCAGTCGTCGCCCCCTCGAGCAACACCTTTTCGTTCAACGAGCACCTTGCCTTTCCTAATTCATCCGTATTAGCGTTGAAAATTACTCGAATATTCAGCTCGCAAGATCGCAGTCCACGCATATTGATTTCAACCCTTTTCGCTAATGGACCAAGGGCTAATTCAGCTAGCCCGGCTCGCGAGTCGATGAAAGGCTCCAGTCCTCCCTTGGTTCACAGGTCTAGACGCGATTTTTTTCACCGTCTGCTTTCGAAATCGCAGATACAGAAATCCCGTACATTTTCCCTTTTTCTCCATCTGACGAGGTGGAAAAGGCAGGCGAGATGTAACGTACGTAGAATATTTCGAGGCTGTAGGTAGGTCGAGGCGAGCAATAACAGCGGTCTTACTTGGGCGACACTCCTTAACGTTTCTCAATCCGGATGCATCGAGGAGGATGACGAGGGGGGCGTTTCGTCGTGATTCTTCTCTCTTTCTCCCTTTCTCTCTTTCTCCCCAGAGACGGATTATTATTGTTCCCCGGTAGACGTGTGTTGGGTCCAGTCGGTGAATGCTGTTCAGCGTTATTCCCGTCTTTTCGGTGCGTCATTATTTAATGCTTTACCTCGTTCCTTTCCACCGGCGAGTAATTACAAACCGTTCCCAATTGACAATTGAGTATTTTTCAAGTCCTTCTTCCTTGCCCATCCGATTTAATTGTATCCCCGCCACTTCCGCCTGCCCGCTTCTAGTTTTTCGTTGGAAAATAATTAATTTCTCGTCTTTGGAAAAAATTTCTTTTCTTTCTCTTCCCCTTTTGTGTTGCTTCCCTTTTTCGTTCGATCGACGAAGAATCTGGCAGAGTTCACGCGATTCGAATATCGGGACAGCATCTAGGCGTCGAGAATCCTGCAGCATTCCCCGCTACTGGCGCCTTTCTTCTCCATTATGCCCGGTTCATTGTTTCTCGAACAAAAGACGATTCTCCGTGGCGCGTACTTGCGGCGTGCTCGGGCTGGAACGAGCATCTCGAATTTTATGAATGAATAAATCTAATTGGACGCTTATTACCGGCGAACGTTCGGCCTCTGGACGCTAAGCGACCTACCTTTCAACCGAATTACCATCTTTCCTCGTCCTTGTCTCTTTTCTTTTTCAATCCTCGATTGCCTCTCGTCCTTACATTCTTCGGTGTTCCGTCAGATTTTCGTGTTTCGGTGGCTGAAACTTTTCACGGGACCATCCTTCGAGATCCCGAACTTCCTGTCGACTGTGTATGTGAGTTAAGCAGATCTCCGAAGCAGATTGCTTCCTTTGAAAGAGCGCAAGGGCGAAATTAACGCCGACAGAATTAATAACCGTGAACCACTTCGTCAGAAGTGTGTGCAGCCTCGAAAAAAAGCTGCTCGAGTTAAGGAGGATGATTTTATGTAACACCCGACGATTTCTCGCAATCGAGCCTTCGCTCTTTTCTAACAAGTCCGATCTCCCCGATTTTTTCTTTCTTTCTACCACGATCCAACGATAAATCTAGCTTATCTCTGCCTCTTCTAAGCAACCGCGAATTTTTTTTTTTTCTCTTTTCGCCTCGTAATACTTTATTTCTGACGTCTTCCTCGTTTGGTTGTAATTACCTCTAATTGACGGCCCGCTGAAATTGTCCGCTTTCACTCTCGTCAGAGAGTGGCCGGTGTCGACAGAGTTACGCGGTTAATTCGACGTTTCTTTCTCCCCCTCTGCTATGCAAAAACTCCCCCGTATCCCGTTGCATTATGGTACACGATTATCGTTGCTCAACCAGCAGTCGTGACTTCGACGGAAAAAAAACCTACGCTGCAGTGTTATGTCGTAAGAGGAGATTTACATCGAAATCGAGAAAACGGGATACGAGTTTGAGAATATTTTCCGAGGAAACTCCACGCGGAAATTCAATCAAACTTTTTTCTATGAAAGATACATCTGTGGACCAGATATCGCCGAATATTTCGTTAGAAAATATCAACAATTGTGGAAGATATGATTTTTCATTCGAACGAACAAATTTTATTTCTTCGTCACGATACACGGTCCTCTTTGTTCGATCGTAAAAAAAGTTAGGGTTGCAGGTTTTAAAAAACGAAGCTAGCTGGTACTACGTAAAGCTTCCAAGTATATCCTGGCTAAGTTTCAAGTAAATCTATCGATTGGTTCTCAAGATACGATGCTTTTTAGCTCGGATAGTCTAGTATCCAGAAAAAACGCGTTTTACCCGCTGTAACTCAACGAATTCTTCAGTTGTCCGTGTGAAATTTTCCGAACTTTCGCAAGTTGGAACAATCGAAAGATTGATCTGCTTGTTAGAAGGTGTCGGCTATTCATCGGCAATTAATCGTACGTTCTGCCCCGGCGAATGGGACTGGCGAATGATCGGGGGCGAGGGCTCGAATATCGCGCAAGTGAAGATTAATTCCGTCGCATCGTTCATCACTGCCAGAGGCACGCCTGCCGTTTTGCGAAACGCAGGAACAAAAGGACACGCGCGGATAGAGAGAAGCAAAATCGGCCATTAATCACACGTTCGTCCGGCGTTCTTTTGCTTCTTTCTACAGAGGGAAGCTCTGCTTTTGCACGCAGACGACGACTCTCCTCTCTCTTTTCCCATTCACCAGCGCGACAGACTGGAAATCGCGCAATATTTGCACGACGATGCTTCTTGTTGCGTTTGTTTCTACCTTTATCCCAGCCAGCAGCTGCTCCTCGAGATCTCGACTCACGATCGAAAGGCAGTCGATCATTCCAACGACGAGAATTTACGTTCCTCTTGGTTTGCTTTAATTTTCTCCGTTGTCCACCTCGACACCTTGTACACGGACGGGCACCGTTAATGCGCGAAGAAAAAATCCACACTCGTTTGTCAATGGCTTAATGTACTGTGTAACAAAGATATTTACACCGCGAAGCGTAATTATGGCACCATTCACATTTTTCAGACTTTTCAACTTTGAAAAGATAATTAATCCGACAAAGTTAATTAAATAATGAACTTTGGATGAAAAGCATTGAATTTGTCGGCAAAACTCTGGTATACAGTAGTTCCCAAAAATATATCTGACACGTCTTTTTGTATATCGACAATCGTCCACATTGAAGTGGTGAAAATCACCCTTAACCCGAAGGGCGTATATATACGCCCTCGAAGAATGAACATTCATATACGAAGAGCGTATATATACGTTCATACCATATATACTTTTGTTTCTTTTTTGTTTTTGCGACAAAATTATCGTTTGCCAAATTTCATTTAAATCTTATAAGACAGATATTGGAAACATATGGGAAACAAAAATCAGATATGAAATGTACCTCAGTGTCGACTAGTCAGTAATGCGCTCCGTTCATAGCGATCATATTTTGTCACAAGCGCGCCGTAGCGAAAAGGTTAATGCACTTTTTCACGGTCTTCTATTGCAAAATTCTTACTTTCCTGAAGTTCTTTCGCGATCACCGTAATAATAATAATTAAAAGTATCTCTTCTTCTGTACAACACTAAATATTTCTATACCACACCACACACTTCCTTCATGATTACTATAATAAAATAATTAAAAAAAGTAAAATAAAAGACTTTCATGAATGATCACGCGTGAGTTCGATTGTAATAGTTTTAGTCTGTCACCAGAAACTTTAATTGTCCGGCAGATTTGGCAACGGTACCGCGGAAAATTAGGCTCGACGAATTCCCGTTCGTTTATCAGTTGCCGCTTATTTTCATTCGCGGCGCTTTCAGCGCTCCTCGAGGACGTGTCTGAATGGCGACATTCCAGACGTGACACACTCGTGACGGGGCTGTTTTTAACGCGAGGCGACATTCATTAAACTGAAAAGCAGTTCTCTATATTTTTTTTCCTCCTTTTTCTACTCGTTTTTTGTTCTGTTTTCTTCGTTCACCGGTCTCGTCTCTATCCGTGTGATAAAAGAATCGCTAACAACTGCGCGGCGAACGAAAACGGCTACGGGATTAATGTCATATTTTGTTTTAATCGGTCACGTCGGATTATCGCCCCCCTCTTTCAACCTGTCCGTCTGAAATACGAGCCAGTCCACCCTGCGATACGACGAAATAGCCGAAAATAGAAAGAACCAAGTCCAAGACTAGACATCCTCGCGGTCATCAGGAGTGAAACAGCTCGTGAACTCGCCGAAACGTCTAAAATAAACCTGACACGTTTACAGACGATCGCAACTTTGTCGCAAGACACATATACCATCCTATTTAACCCTTAACGGTCGCAAGGCACGTATGAGGTGACAAGACGCATATTTACTGAAAACAACTACAACCTGGTGAGAATCACGTATACAAAGCTAGCGTCCGATAAGGGTTAACAAGTAGTTGAAACTATTATCGGTACCCAACACTAATTAAACTCCACCTTGCACCTCTTAATTGAAAGCACCGCGCGATATTCATGAAAGGCGAGAGAAAAGAAGAAAGGATAACATTCTTCCTCTCGGAAGAAGAAGAAGAAAGAGAATAATAACACAAAGAGCCCGAAAGAAATTGAGAAGCGACATTTTTCCTACTTGCAACCCTCGACGCGAGACACACGCGCGACGAAATCCTTCGGCGTAAAAAGAACAAGAAGATCCGGCTGACGAAGTGAGATCCAAGAGAGAGAAGCATCGTAATGCCTTCCTCGGTGGCTCGCGTTTACCTCGCCCCATCCCCTTTTCGGTTCTCGAAGCGAAATACGCGCGAGCGAGAGTGGAAGAAGGAGGAAGTGTCTGGCTAGAGGATAGAGGGGAATGATTTAGCAACCCCCGTCGTTTTGCGTGTGTACAAGTGGCCTGGTTGAAAACCGGGTTGAACGAACCCTCGCGAAAGAGTAAAAGAGAGAGAGTAGGAGAGAGGGGAGGAAGGGCTATGGCCACCTACGTCGTACGTAGGATCTACATGAGAATAAACGCAGCGCGTTGCGCCTCCTGACCGTAGGACGATGATAAATGGTGCCATTTTATGGCCAGCCATACACGCTCCTCCCCGTGTCTTATGAATGTAGGGCCACTAGTCGAGAGACCTGGACACCCTTCTACGCTTGCTACGTGAAAATTATACCCCATAAAGTATCGGTTCCTGTCAACCGCACAAGTTCCTCCAGTGACGACTGGATACATGATAGAAAGGTCTTCAAAAGTACTCCACGAACGCTCGTTTTCTCCTTTATTTCTGCTTGATTTACCGCGTCGATATTCTTCAGCCTAGAATTCTAATATGAATAGAATTCTCAATATTTCGACGAGAGTTACAGAAACTGCGAGAGAAGTTAGAAAAGTAGCACACTATCGATTGGTAGAAATTCAATAAAAAAGAAACAATAGCGTACTATTCATTGATGCAGCTGATAATAGCTGTCAAAGTCAATAACAATGTTTCTGCAACGATACCTCGCCGCGATAAGAGTCTATATCGGTCGATCTGTGAAAGGCCGCATTGATCCATCGTGGATGAATCCGGTGAACCGTTTATTTGTCTCCTCCTCGCAACGGTGTTACCTTGACTATCATTTTTTCCCCAGCTCTCGAAGATGATCGAGCACGGCTATGTACCGAGTCATCATCCTGTTCTCGCGCCTTCAATCCCGGCTGCTGCTTAATGACTCCTTCACAACCCGGTGACCAAAGAGCAGCCGAGAGTCTTGAACATCCTTGTGCGAACCACTGATTAATCTGTCGATTACGAGAACGCGATTATCGGATAACCGATGAATCAGCTTTGCACCCGGTTGCCCAGGAGCACAGTGATTGGACATCGATGTCGGATATAATTATCGACGAAGCCGCGAAGCGCATTCGTGCAACAAAAGAGAGAAAAAACGTGCCGCGTGTACCAATCGAAGTTGTACACGAGTAACACGCGTGATTTCGAAATCATCTCGAATCGTGCGTCTTCGAGGTTCACCTTTTTCCACAAATAGAGTATCTTCGAGGATTTCGTGGTGTCTATTTTCATTAATTTGGCTTGCCGGCCAGATTCTTCATTTTCATTAACGAATTCGCGGAATTTCAGTATAGAGCTATACAGCTCTGGCAAATGTTGCTACAGTTTTAGCAACTGTGGACGGTAGAGTGAAAAACGATGGGCCTGACACTGCGGAGAGATGGCAAAGGTAAAGTTTCCAGACGCGATCGTTTCGTACAGCGTGGATCTTTCTCTGTTTGCAGGGTACGAAACTATGGATTATTATGGAGTACTTGGGTGGCGGCTCGGCCCTGGACTTGATGAAGGCCGGTAGCTTCGAGGAAATGCACATCGCGGTGATATTGCGCGAGGTGCTCAAAGGGCTGGATTATCTTCACAGCGAACGGAAGCTTCATCGCGATATTAAAGGTGCATTTACCGACCAACCAAAGCAAAGCAAAAAAGAAAGAAAGAAAGAAAAATAGAAAGAGTAGAAAATTAATTTGCATTTAGCGTTTATTAAATGAATGGAAAGAAAGGAGAGAGAGAGAGAGAGAGAGAGAGGACGACACTTTAATCAAAGCTCTTCTGCTGACTGTATTCGTTTGTTTTAAAGCGGCGAACGTTCTGTTGAGCGAAATGGGCGACGTTAAATTAGCGGACTTTGGTGTGGCCGGACAGTTGACCAACACGACCAGCAAACGGAACACTTTCGTCGGGACGCCGTTCTGGATGGCACCGGAAGTCATCAAGCAAGCCTCCTACGATTCCAAGGTAATAACTCGAGACTAAGGGAAAACGACAATTCCCCGTCGCAAATTATAAAAGCATATTTTTCATCTGGCTGTTTCTCATACTTGAGGCCAATGCTCCGACTGGTTAGGTTAGGTTAGGTATACACGCCGGTCACGTATACCTGGCAGATTTAATTTTATTACCTGCCTCTGACTTTCCATCCCCGTACAACCTCAACGTGGTTACCTTGTTTACCTCTTCTGCGGTCTTTTCTAGAAACTTTAATCGCCTACCTCTCTTTATCCCTGTACATTTTCACCGTACACCGAAAGCATAACAGATTTTCCAAGTATTTTTAAAGAGGAACGTGTGAAAGTATCGAGCGGTATAATTAGTATTTTAATTTGACGTCCTTATCAGTTCTCACCTAACCTTCTACGTAACAGGGTCAAAGTAGTTCACTTTTGAGAATCTTTGGAACAAGTGACCCGTTGTCCTTCTACGTAATCCCTGCAGGCAATTTCCGGAAGGCAGAGAGAACGGTCACGTCGTGATTAGCGTCTAATTAACACCTCGGCCGGTTGTAAAGCGACGAACGCTTGTTCCACAGGCTGACATTTGGTCGCTAGGCATCACGGCGATCGAATTGGCCAAGGGAGAGCCGCCTAACAGCGAGCTGCATCCCATGAGGGTCCTGTTCCTTATACCGAAGAACAATCCGCCCCAACTAACCGGAAATTACACGAAACAGTTCAAGGAGTTCGTCGAGGCCTGTCTCAACAAGGACCCGGAAAACGTGAGTTGATTTTCATCCAACCAGAGGCTACGTGCTCTGTGTCTGCTTGCTAATTTTCGCTTTACGAGCACGTACCCAACGTAACAATCTTCGGTGTTGTCTTCGTTCTCGTGTCACGAGTTCCACCGGAGTCTGTAATTCCAGTTTCTTCTTCTCGCATTATAGAGGCCAACCGCGAAAGAGCTGTTAAAGTTCCAGTTCATCAGGAAAGCGAAGAAAAATTCGTACCTGATCGACCTAATAGACCGGTACAAAAAGTGGAAGTCGCAGCGTAGCGAAGAATCTGAAACGGAGAGTGAAAATTCGGATTCGTAAGTACTCTACTTTAATCGATCCTTCTGCGATCGGTGTTCTCGTTTGGATACGACGATCGATCCACGTTACAGGGAAGAATCGAAGCAGGATAGCGACATGGACGAGCCATGGATAATGACGGTGAAGGGTCCGCACGGTGTGAAGGGTTCGGTGGTTCCTATGCTACCTTTGGACGAGCAACCTGCCTCGTTGACCCTGACGCACACTCCAAATCACAGATCGACGAATCACAATCAACAGACGAAGCCACACGCGAACGGTGCCTCGAGATCTCCGCCCAAGGATTCCACGTTGAATCATTACAGCAGCGAGTCGAGGGACTCGGTGCGCGATGCCCAAGCGAAGCACACGCCGGTGAGTGTCTCAATCAAATTCTCCGTACCTATTCTAAGAGAAATTAAAAATAATTTCGACGTTTAATATCGCCGGAGTTCAATCGTGTCTCTCTTTGCAGTCCCGACCACACGAGGCTGCGCCACCGCCTCCCGTGGACACGCGAGAGAAACGAGAGGAGCGGGATTACCAGGACTTCAATCAGGATTCCTCGATGAGGGAGTTGAAGGAAATGCGAGACAGCAGAGACAGCAGAGATAGCAGAGACAGGGAACGTGACAGAGAGGGACGGGAGAGGGACAGGGGAAGGGACAGGGACAGGGAATGGAAGAGCAGTACGAAGGATATGAGAAGGGGTAGCAGCGAGGACAAACCGAGACCGAGGAGCTCGCAGGAACTGAAACATCCGCGAAGCGCAGCTCTTTCTGGCGTCGTTTTACCTCTCCTTTCCGAGGTGACTATGTCTCTTCTGTAACTCTTTCCAACTAAGTTGGACGTGGAAATAACGTTCCTATGCCTATTGTGTCTCGCAGCTTCAACGGAAGCATCAATATTCGGCAAGAGACAATAATGGCGAGGGCGGAAGCGGTATCGGCAAGAATGGAGGCGCGATAGAAGAACTACGCAGCGCGTTCGAGACAGCGGAACGCACTTCGCCTGGAATGACCGAGGCCCTTATCAGGGAACTCCTCAAGTCCTTACTTCCTTCCAATCACTCGGATGGTCGTCTGTCTATGCTGATGGAAAAAGTGATCCTGAGGTAAACATTCTTGAAATTTACACTCTCCGCAACTAACCGCTTTCTCCATTGTAATTTCTTTTATCGGAATAAATTTCATCCTTTATTTTATCATCTTCACCGACCTCAATGGGGAATTTGCCGCTATTTCTTTTCACGTTTGCAGTTTTTCTTTTCTTTCTCTTTTCTTCTTTTGTCCGTCCAGTATTTCATCCAGCACGACACGATTATAATATTCCGCTGCTTTTCCCATTCGCCGGAGTATGAAGTTGTACTTTTTTCCAGGGATACGTAGGGACGCGAGAGGGCGAGGGTTCGCAAGAGATTGTGGTCCGAGAACATCCTGACGTTGTAACGATTCGTTATTTCTCGTTTATCAGAGTTAATTAATTCCGTATGAGCCGGTATACGTTGTTGACGAACGCCGGATCCGAACGTGAGAGAGATGGGCAGAGTAGAAGAAGAACGTCGCTGTAACGGCCCCGGACAATTTTTCTTTCCCCCCTTCTTCTTCTTCAGGTCTGCAAAGTGACTAGACTCGACGGAGAGAGAGAGAGTGAGAGAGAGAGAGAGAGAGCTCGTCGAGTTCGTAGCAACTTTTATCCGATTAATCCTGCCTCCTTTGTCCGGTTCGACGCGAAGTGCTCCGTAGCTACAGAGATGAAAAATTATTATTAGCGACATTTATCAGCGCGAGAGAGAGAATTCGTTCGTTTTTCTTTTCCGTTTGAGAACAGAGCAAAATATTTAGAGATTTATCTACTACAGTAAATGAAGAAAAAAAATAAAATAAAAGTAAGAAGAAAATTATACCATCCAATTCGCCCTCGCGCGAGGGTGACAGTTACCGTTAAAACTCTTTAAAAAGATTTAAAACAAAAAAAAAAAAAAAGAAAAAAAGATATTAGCCCTTCCCCCCGATTCCCCCCCTCCGATCGTTGAAAGTTAGTATTTGGAGAGAAAAAAAAAATTAAGTAAAAGTGAAGATGAAAAGAGCAAGAAAAAAAGGTAGTAGGAGATAGTTGAGAAATATTTTTGCAAATCGTGCAACCACCCGTTCAGGATTCTTTGTACGTTCTTCGTGTTCGGTATCGACGCAACCTGAAAAAGAACAGGAAGAGATAAAAATAGCGTAGGTCGAAGCCGTTTGGTCCGATGGATGGCGAAAGGGTTATTCGTTGAAGGGATCTTGCCTCATTGTAGATACATCCGGAACATGCACTATCATCGTCAATTTTTCTTTTAGATTGT